ACTTTTCATCTCCGCACTGTTCAATCAACGCTTGAACAAACTCTCTCACTCTCACATCACACCGCGCTCTCTCTACCTCCTCATTGACTGGTCGCTGGGCTCGCAGATTAGAGTGGTCATCGTAAAATCGCCTTTCCGGTACTTACATTGAGAGACGGACAGACGCAGACATCTCGTGGACGCGTGGTGCCTGCCGCCGCGAGAAGCGTCGGGGGTTCAGGGCGCGGGCCGGCCCCCAGAGCAGATAGGAGGGTTAGAGCACCGCGGTGTTTTAGTTTTTCCGCAATTTGTTTTCTTTGTTGTTGCGGTTTGAACGAACTGGTTGGTTGAGGCAAAGAAAAGGAATAGTGCCGAGGAAGGGCTGGGGCGAGGGGGAGGGGGCGCATCGCGGCGCGGAGAGGGCTAGGCACTAAGGCACAAGGGCACAAACGATTGACCCTTCTCTCCCTTCGATGTTATTATAATAAACAAACGCGAGGCGGACAAAACTTCTGATGCCATGCGTGACCTAGTATAGTGTCCCCAGCTAAAGGCGTGTCCACGTTGGAGGCAACCGATGCGAGTCGACTGGTGTGTGTCGTCGTGGTTTCGTATCAAGAATACTCACTCACTCACACCTGAGGGCGGGTGTAGAGGATGTAGAGTGTAGAGCGCTGTAGAGCTGTAGAGATGTAGAGCGCGCTCTGGAGCGCTGTAGAGCTCTACAGCGCTCTACATTTCTACATCCCTGCAGCTCTACAGCGCTTTACACCCTAACATCCTCTACACCCTCCCTACACCCTCCCTCAGACTCACACACGGCGGACACGCATATGACACATCACTCTCGGGCCCACACGTCGAGAAGAGAATCTCTCTCTCTCTCTCTCTCTCTCTCTCTCTCAGACATCCCGCACACGCGCCGGGAATTTTTCTCGAGGCAGGTGGCGATTTTTTTGCTTGGCCGGCCGGGACAGACCAGCCTTTGTGCTTTGACGTTCGCGCGGATTTCGTGAACTTCGAACTCGAACGAACGCAGCCGGCGGGGCCCAGCCCGAACCTCGAAACTGAACGGACCGCGCCGGCTGCGGAAGGCGCGAACTGCGGAAACGAACGAATTCGTGAACTCCGTTCGAACTTTGGAAAAAAGAAAACCAGGGCCAAAAGTTCGTTCGTTCGGCGTGCAGTTTAGCCACGAGCCGCGCTGAACGAACGAACTCGCGCAACTGCGCCACGTGCTCACGTGCGGACGCGGTCTGTCCCTCAATCTAGCGGACTACGGGCGCGATTACCGGTGCCGGTGCGCTGTGAGCAGGGCCGCCCTGTGGTGCCTGGGCGCCTTGCGTGCTGACTGGCGAGTAAAATGGGGGCGACGGGGGCTCCCCGAGGCGTCCAGGCGTACCAGGCCTCTAGTTAGGCGACTAGGGACTATACAGGCCTGCATAGTCAAACAATAACTATTGCGGTTCGTTCCGTGGTTCGTTCGCAGTTCAGACGAACTTCCCTGGTATTCCTCGCCCTGCGGGCTGCGGGTGTGAAGCGGGTCGGGGGGGAGGAGAAAAGAAAAGGCGCGAGTTCACGAACTAGTTCGAGGGTTCGGGCACCCAAGCCCCAAGGGCGGACGACCGAACCGATGCAGCGAACCAAGGGGATAAATAAAACGGACACCTCTACTAGGAGATGGGTAAAAAGGAACAGGTCCCCGCCCTGCGGTCTTTGTGCAGGGTTCTTTGTGGGTGTGGTCGGCGACTAGCCGGGGTCGTCCTCCCGATGTGGGGGACTAGCACTAGCCGTCTTCCACATGGTCCCTCGGGTCCCTGGGGATGCGTCCAGAGCGAACTCCGAAACCGAACGAACGAGAACCGCGAGTTCACCGAACCAGTTCATCTTCATGAACCAGTTCGCCAGTCAAAGCACAAAGGCTAGAAAGCTGAGAAGCTGCCGAGCCCAAATCACTGTGAGAGACGTGATTTCTTGTTGGTTTTCTAAAATCTCTCTCTCAAAGAAGGTAGGATGGCGATGGGACAGACAGAAGACAGATGGGCTGTGAAATTCTTTCTTTCTGGAAAAACCTGCCCGGCCCCTGGCCTGCCCCGACCGGAAGGGCCCAGACTTACCGGGCGATTTATTGATGGTAAGGGGAGAACGGTCGGCATCACGGGACCCCAAAACAAAAAAAGCTGGCCGGGAATCCTGCGGGTTCTCCCATGCTCTCGCTTCTGCCCGGCCTGGCCGTCAGCTTCCACGCAGGCGCGTCGCCGCGGCCTGCGGTGCACCGAGCGCACCACCGGACGAGCGATGTCGCGATGGCTGCGCCTGGCGGCCGGCGCGTTGTCGTGACCGGGATGGGCATCGTCTCGTGCCTCGGCAACTCGCTCGACGACGTGTCCGCCTCGCTGAAGGAGGCCAAGTCGGGCATCAAGGTGAACCAAAAGTACATTGACATTGGCATGAAGTCGCACATCTGCGGGAGGCCCGAGATCGACCTCGACGAGTTCATCGATCGCAAGCAGGCGCGGTTCATGGGCATCAACGCCAAGTACGCGTTCGTCGCGATGCAACAGGCGATCGACGACTCGTGCCTGCCGCCAGAGGCGATCGACAGCGATCGCTGCGGCGGGATCCTCGGGCAGGGGGGCACCTCCTTGGCGGACGTGCAGGAGACCATGCAGGCGGTCGAGGACCGCAAGCTTCGCCGCATCGGGCCGTACCGAGTGACACGCTCGATGGGCTCGACAGTCTCTGCCGTGCTGTCCACCAGCTTTAAGCTCAAGGGCGCCTCGTACTCGATCTCGTCGGCCTGCTCCACCGGGGCGCACTGCATCGGCGTCGGCATGGAGCAGATCCAGCTCAACAAGGCGGATGTCATGTTTTGCGGCGCCGGCGAGGCAGAGGACTGGGGCTTCTCAGTCATGTTCGACGCGATGACGGCGCTCTCCACCAAGTACAACGACGATCCCACGACGGCGTCGCGCGCGTTCGACGTCTCGCGCGACGGCTTCGTCATTGCAGGCGGCGGCGGCATCATCGTGCTCGAAGAGCTCGAGCACGCCAAGGCGCGGCATTGCCCGCGAATCCACACACAGACCCTTCTTGCACTGCCTCACTTCGGGTCGGCCCCCTCGCAAAGGCGCGTGGCGCCAAGATATACGGCGAGCTGGTCGGGTACGCGGCCAACTCGGACGGGTACGACATGGTGGCGCCGTCGGGGATCGGCGGCCAGAACTGCATGCGGCTGGCGATGAAGATGGCAAACGAGGTTGGCGGCGAGAAGCAGATCGACTATGTCAACACTCACGGCACCTCGACGCCGGTGGGCGATCTCAAGGAGCTCGACGCCATCAAGACCGTCTTCACCGAGGCGGGCTACCAGCCGCACGTCGGCTCGACGAAGTGCGCCCCTCTTCGGCCGCACCCCCCCCCCCCCCTCCTCCCCCCACGCACGCGCCGCAGACACTGGACGTGTCATGGGACGTGTCATGTTCGCGACCCTGTGCCAAACCGCCCTCGGCCGCCGCCACCGCCCCGCCGCCGAACCGCCCTCGCCGCCGCCTCTGTCACGGTCGACTTGCGCGCCACCACCACCTCTTTTCTCTCGCCACCAAAGGCCTCTCCTGCCGCCCTCGCCGCCATCCCGGAGCCCCGCCCCTCCCCCCTCCCACGTCTTCAGGTCGCTGTCGGGGCACGCGCTGGGCGCCGCCGGCGTGCACGAGGCGATCTACTCTTTGCTCATGATGCGCGATGGTGCTCGCCTAGCGCGCCACGCCCCCGTCCCTCCCCTCTTGTCTTCCCTCCTCGACCACGCCCCACCGTCACACCTCTGGTCTCACGCCTAGCCCGGCTTCGCGCCAGGCTTCCTCGCCGAGTCGGCCAACATCAAAGAGCTCGTCCCCGAGGCGGAGGGCATGAACATATTGCGGAAACGCGAGGAGATGCCGGTAACGCGTGTGTCACGTCGCCCCCTTGCTCACCCCCTCTGTGTCACAGAATCGTTTGGCGTTGCAGGTGCAGCGCGTCATGTCGAACTCGTTCGGCTTCGGCGGCACCAACGCATGCCTCATCTTTGACAAGTACGACTGAGGGGGACAGCGCTGCCCCTCGCCTGACATAACACATCGGAGGCCGTTCGATGTGAAGGGGCAGTGGAGGTGAGTGCGTCGATTGCGTGTCCGTGCTCTTCCTCCGACCCACGCCGCGTCTCCCACTCGCACAATTCCCCCTTCTCTATCCCACCCATATGCGCAATCCCTGCTGCTATGGCACTCGAAAAGTAAGAGTGCCATACACACCGCCGGCGTCCAACACATACACGTCACACCGGCGACTCACCGACGGCGGCGCGCGCGTCGGTTGCGGGTGCGGCGCCGCGCGGCCGCGGCGGGGGGCCCGGGGCCGCCGGGGGGGGGGGGGGGGCTCCACCCCGGGCTCTCCGGCTCTCCCCGGCGCCCCACGCGTGTCACGCGGCCCGCGCACAGCCACCACCGGTCAGAATCCGCTATGGCACGGCGGCACGCACACGAGCTGCAGCGGCCGTGCCGCCGTGTCATACGTTAGCGGCGCGAGCAGGCGGCGAGGCGCGCCGCGCGGGTATGCGCAATGCGGGAGGCCGTCTGTGAGGTGTTTTTGTCGTGCGGTATCGCGCGCCTTGCGGGCGGGGGGGCGCGGAAAAGAGGAACCTCTTAGCGCCATCGCCACATGGTGCTGCGCAAGCAGGGAGGGCGAGACGATCGAGGGGTCCCGTACCATGCGGAATCGACCCTATCCAGTGCTCAAGTGCTCAATCAAGACAACGGGGTGCCTGCCTTGCACTTGGAGCACTTGGAGTGCAGTTATTAACCTGCCTCGTTACATCCCTAGAGCAAAAGAATTCTTTTCTGGAGCTTACTCGAGTAGGCCGCACGATGATTTCCCTCTGGCGGATGAGTCAGAACATACTAAGAGCAGTCATACTAAGAGTGTGTGAGTGTGAGTGTGTGTGTGAGTACACACACACACACACACACATACTAAGAGGAGCAAGGCATAGCTGTGAAGCGGTCTCCATTGACAGCTGTGAAGAGGCGTGGCTCTGCTCGCCAGCATGATCTCCCTCTGGCCCGTGGCGTCATCGGCGCTGCTGCTGCCGCCATTTGGCCCCTGTACTCGCCGTGCGGCGATAGGCTGTGGCACCGCAGCGTTCCTCGTCCCAAATGCGGGCCGTGCGGCTGGCGTGCAAGACATGCAGCGCAGCACCTCAGCAGCTTGGACGATCTCGGAGCCGCAGCTGTCGTCGCCCTCCCTCGAGGCGTTGTCGGTGATGCTGGGAGAGGTCTCCCTTTCTGACGTACTCGAGGAGCAGGTGAGTAATGGGCGCGCCGGGATGTCGTCTGCCGAGTTGGCCAACGAGAAGCGCAAGAAGGCCGAGGAGGTGGCTGCGCAAAGGCGGCTCGAGTTTCAGGAGAAGGTGGCGGCTCGGAAGGCCCAGAAAGCGGCTGCAAAGGAAGCGGGCACATCTGCGCCCGTGGAACGCCTAGCCCCTCCTCCCCCGCCGCCGCCGCCGCCGCCACCCGCTCCCGCAGCAATCACCCCTAAGCCTCTTCCGCCTCCGCCTCCGCCGCCGCCGCCGCCGCCGCCGCCACCGCCGCCGCCGCCGCCGCCGCCTCCCAAGCCTCCTCCTCCTCCGCCGCCGCCGCCGCCTCCGAAGCCGCCGCCGCCGCCGCCGCCGCCGCCGCCGCCTCCGCCTCCCAAGCCTCCTCCGCCGCCGCCGCTGCCTCCCAAGCCGCCGCCGCCGCCGCCGCCTCCCAAGCCGCCGCCGCCACCGACGCCGAAGCCAGAGACGGCGAATGGCGACACTTTCTTTGGCTTCTCTCCCTCGGACGTCGTCAAGTCGGGCGCGCAAGGCGCGGAGCAGCTCAACCTCGACGCGCTGCCGTCCATCCCGATGCCAAAGATGCCGAGCGTGACGACGCTGCCAAGCTTCTCGCTGCCCAGCCTGCCGGCACCGTCGCCGCCGGCGGCGAAGCGCGCCGAGCCCGACCTGGACGCGACCCTCCAAGAGGCGCGCGAAGCGCGCGAGCGATTTCTGCAAAAGGAGGGGCTCGCTCCTTCCAAGCCCGCCGCGCAGCCGCGCGCACGGCCTCGCTCGTGCGGGGCCAAGGAGTCTGGCTGCCTGCAGAGCGAGCGCGTCAAGGGGGCCAGCTACATGCCGGCGTGGGCCTACCCACCCGCGCTCAAGCCGCGCGACGCTGCGAAGGCCCTCAACCGCGCCCTCAAGGCTTGCGGCGCCACCGGCGTCGACACCGCCACGGTCGCTGGCGGCGCGCTCCGCCTCACGGCGCGGTTCTCAACCGGCTTCCTCGGCATGACCACCGACACGGCGGAGTTCCTCCTCGACCCCAGCACCACCGCCGTTGCGTTCCGCGCCACCTCGCCCGGCGACGAGGGTCGCGCGCGGGGCCGCATGACGCGCTTGCGCACCCGCCTCAAGTGGCGCGAGATTCCGGCTTGAAGCGCAGCGCTCGAGCCGCCTCCCTGCCGAGCGGGGCGGAGACGCCTCATCGCCACTTCCTTGTGGGGTGGGTTTGGGGGGGGGGGGGGGGGGGGGCTTCTCCTGTGGGGTCAGGCGGTCCGGAGAGACGTGCACCGCGGCCGCTTGCCCCTTTCGTCACACCGAGCCACCCACCTTCATGGCTACTTTCCTTTACCTTCGCTCACGTTTAACCGTGGCATAGCATGGACATGTTTTGTTGGCCCCTTCCATGAAAGAGAGAAAGATTAACCGCGACCCCCCTAGGAAAGGAGTAGGACGGAAAGAAAAAGCCACAAAAGTCAAAACTGAAAGTCCGAAGTCCGACGAGAAGAGGTGCGCGGGGGGGACATCACCGATCTCAATACTCAATTCTCATCAAGGAGAAAGCCCGCCCGATTGGCCTGTTTTTCTTGCGTACCAACTGGGTCAACTCCACTGTGCACTGAGAGCGTGCCACTGCTACACCATGATTTGAAGGAAACCGTCGGACAGAGACTCCCGAGATCCTCCCATCCTCCCTCTGTACTCGAAGAGAGATATTTGCACTTTTCAGACACAATCACAAAATCACACTGTTTCTTGCCTGTGTGAACACTGTTTCTTGCCTGTGGGAGGCCTTCGTCTTCGCGCTCCCGGGCCCGACTGCCACCCACTCTGCTCTCCTCTCTGGCATCGGTAGCGTCACGAGATGACTTTCAGGCGGTGTGGCAGAGGTAGCTGGTACAGATAAATCGTACAGATACATGTTTGCTTCGCGGCCCGCGTTCCTGCGCTGGTGAGCACTCGCAACTCGGTCAATTAGGAGCACGTGGTGTACCGATGCCTTAGATGGTGGGAAGCCTCCCGATCGCTGCTGCTGCGGCAGTCTGTGCGGCCGCATGCGATCTTTGCAGCCGTGCGCGAACTGGTCCTTCACACTCTGGGCAGCGCATTTGCTGACGGAGGCGGCAGCGGCGGCAGGAAAGTTGCGTCGATCGGCAGCCTCATCAGCGAGCTCGCCCCCATCCGATGGGGAGACCATCTCGGGTCGCCGAGGGGGCGGGTCGGACGCCCGATCCGGTTGCTGGCCGGAGGACGTCGCCGGCTCCGCGATTTTGGGCGCCCCAGGCGCCTCCAGCCGCACCCGCGTGAGGTCGCCCTCGAGGACGAGTGTTGACCCTTGCGCGAGCGAGACGGCGTGCGGCGTGGGCAGCTTGTCGCGCACCGCGGCGAGGGTGGGGCCAAAGGAAGGGTCGATGACGACGCGCGGCGTGTCGACGACGCCGACGCCGTCGCGGATGGCGTGCACCTGCAGGAGGGGAAAGGGGGGGGGTGGAGAAGGGGCGCGGGGGGGGGGGGGGGGGGGGGTTTAAACAACCCCCGGGGAAGGGAAGGGGCCCTCTTTGGGCCAAGGGCCAAGGGCAAAAACCACCGGGTGGAAGCCGCACCGTTATTGGCCAAGGAATGGTGGTTAAAAGTGGCAAAAGCGGGCGGGGCGTGCACCGGCGGCGGCAGCCGGACGCCCGACGCGGCAAGCACCTGAGATGTGGGGAGATGTGGGGAGATGTGGGGAGATGTGGCACCCGGCGCGGCGAGCACCTGAGACATGGGGAGATATGGGGAGATGTGGGGAGATGTGGGGAGATATGGCGCCCGGCGCGGCGAGGCACCTCGCAGGCGGAGGCGTAGACATCTGCCTCGCCCGAGGCGGCGGAGTAGGTCGGCTCGCCCTTTGCCGACTTTGGCCGATGCTCCTCCTGCTGCCGCCCGACCCACACACATGCGCGCTCGTCGCGAGTGACCTCCCAGCGGCAGTGCGCGCTGTCGCGGGGATGCAGCAACCCGCCTCAAGGCTGCGCGTGCTCTGGCTGAGCGACGGGTGTGATGATCGGCTCGAGGGAGCTTTCGCCGCCGCGCTCAAGCACGACGAGTGGCTGCTGCTTCTCAGTGCGAGCGCCAAACCAGCGCCGTTGGTCACCCACCGCTTGCGCCAAGGGTACGGTACTTGAGGTTACTGCACGTACAGGCAGCTTTGGGTTTGGCCCACCATAGGCGGCATTGAAGAAGCACGCACACGCCTTGATGCATGGGACTGAGAATGTTGCCAGGTTCCCGATGCGCGTGTTGTGCAAAAGTACATCGTCTTTAGCGGCGACATCCCGGTCGTACGCCCATTCGCTCACGTTGAAGCAATCGCGCAAGCAATGTGGCAGCTTGGTTGGTGTTGGCTGTGTGGTGCTTTTGATTGCATCGCGCAAGCGAGTAGATCGGAAAGGAACGAATAGGGCACGTTGTATGGGCCCGTACAGCGGCCGATAGTTCAAGTAGACCATATGGCGCTGCCGATTGCTGCAGACGCTCATCATGTCGGCCGCCTTGGGAAAGGTGCTGAAGCCAGCACTGGTCACCACCATGTCTGCGTGCGAGAGGAGGAGAAGGTCGACTAAAGCTGTGTCGATCACGCGAAGGGCGGCATCCTTGCCAAAGATCCTGGCCGTTGCCCATGCGTTGTTGTGGCCCACCTGGCCGTGCGAGTGTGCCGCGGTGATGCCCATTTGGCGCAGATGCGCTACCGCTCGCTCTCGGGAAACGGGGCGTCCGCAGCAACAAAAATCGACCAATCCTCTGTTCCCAGCTTCGTTCGCGCTTCATGCACGACATTCTCCAAGAGCCTCGTCAGCGTCGGCGCGAAGCCGCATGGGCGCGACGCCATGCGCAGCGTGGGCGCGCAGAGCGACTCATTCTTCAGACGGTCGCGCACAGCGAGGTTTCCAAAGTTGGGCGCGAGCATGAGTGAGAAGACTTGGTCTGCAGCGTCAAACCAGCTGCGCTCTCTGAGCTGGCAGTCTTGCAGATTATGCGGGGCGACCTCCGCCGCGTTTGCTGAGACGTCTGCCCATCCAGTGCGCAGGTGTAACACTACCAAGGCGCGTCGCGCACTGAAGTTGTTGCAATGGATTGCCAGCTTGCCTGCGTCGGACCACGCTGGTGGCACCTCCGTGCGAAGCTCTGCGTGCATAGAGCGTACGGACTCCACAACTGAGGCCTTGGGCCTGCTCGTGAGTGCCTTGACGGCGCAAGGGATGTCGCCCGGCTTTCTCGGGATCAACTTTGGCGCATCGAAGAAGTCCTCGAACTTGTACAAGCGGCCGCCGGCGTGGCGGCTGCTATTCACAAGCGCGCTGCAGTTTTGTCTGAAGGCTTCTCGAGCGAGCCCACCAACGATTGGCACCGTGTTGCCGAGCCCACCCGTCAATCTGGATGGCCACACTGTCAGCTGACATTCTGCACGCATCGTGCCGCAGGCTGGCCTGGCGGATGCAGCCGAAGGGAGCTGAAGAGCGGACAATGTGTACAGTAGCGTGCGGAGCAGCCCTCTTGAAGACATTTTGCCCAAGAGCAACGGTGTGCGTCACGGAGTAGCAATCGACACTTTGCATATGTTTGGGTTTTAGGTATGTTTTTAGGTACTCGAGTCGACTTTTAGCTACTGGGAGACAAGGGAGAGGGAGGCGCGATTTCTAGGCCCTTGGGGGCCCTACCATCTCTCGAGTATGTTGTTGGCAAATCAAGACACACACAGAGCTCACACATTTGGGTGGGCAATCGACACGTTGCATGTTTGTTTTAGGTTTGTTAGAGAGACTTTTTTGAGTTTTAAGAGTTGTAGGTTTGTTGTTGGCGTTTTGAGTTTGGGTTGTTTGGGTGGGGATATTCTGATAAAATCTCTGGGAAAAATGCGACTTCCGAACATGTTTTGCCGGACGCTCTCGTCGCGCTGCTGATGCAGTCCGCCGGCACACAAGATCGACTGGCGATCTGGCGAGCCGACAGTGGACGTGCCGACCGCTGTGTTCTGAATTCGCAAATGACAAAGAAAGAATTCTAGAAAAAAGAAACCAAACGGCCCTGCGGAACGCTCTGCTTACCCCTCGCTGCCTCCTCCTTCGCGCCATGGTGAGAGGCGGTACTTATTCTGCCCGGTTGTGGATTCAAAACCCTAACCCTCGTCCTCGCCTCGCAGCCGCAGGCCGAGGAGGATGTCGAAGTCAGGCTCGAGGACCAGCAGGCACTGGAGCTGGTGCTGGTGCGGCCTTCCAGCCATCGCCACATTTGACCGCACCTCACTCTCGCCGCAGGCCATCAACCAGTTTGGGCGGCTGAACACGCGGATGCACGAGCTCGAGGACGAGATCAAGGAGAAGCGCTCGCAGCACGACCAGCTAGACGACGCGGCCAACGAGCTCATCCTTGCGGACGACGACGAGCCTGTGCGGTGCGCCACTGTGGCCGCACGACTCACCTCGGCTCCGAGGCAAGCATCCCGTTAGGACCCCGGGCGCCAGTAGACTGACGCGCCGCCCGGCGCTCCGCTGCCTCCGCAGAGTGCAGTACGGCGAATGTTACTTTGAGGTCGGCAAAGAGCGTGCAGGTCGACGCTGCTCCGCGCACGCATCTCGCGAGCCCAACCCCCGCTGCACACGTCAAGTCACGCCGGCGTCTTGCCTTCACACCCCCATTAGCCCCACCTGTCCGTTACCTCAGACGAGTTGCTCGAGTCGCGCAAGGACGCGGTGGCCGACGAGATCTCGGAGCTCGAGAGCCAACTCGGCACGATCCGGCAGACGCTCGCCGGACTCAAAAAGCAGCTATACGCACGCTTCGGAGGCAACATCAACTTGGAAGAAAACTGAAGATCATTCCCTGGCAGTCACGCGGGAACAGGCATGTTCCGTCGGCACATGTACATGTCGCTTGCCATACCCCGGCCGGTGGTGCTGGTGGCTGTAGAGCGCCTGTGGCTGAGCCTGCGACGTGCGACGAGGTGTATACGATGTACATCGCGGCCTCTGCGGGGTACCGCGCGCTTTGACAGTATTTTTGAGATTATCGTGCCCCCCGAGCATATGCATGTACTATTGTGCCAAGAGACGAGAACCCCCTCCCCCCACCCCACCCAGACCCACCCACACGTCATTTTCTTCGTCATCTCTTTCCGATCTTGGTTCTTGCGCTCCATGACGATGAGAGATCTGTGAGAGATCGATCTGATTCATGATTGGCGCTCAGCCCCGATTGGGAGCATTGGCGCATTGGCATACTCGCTCCGAGTCGAGACGCAGCCGTCAATCGGCGTGCGGCCCCTGCTCATTCTTGGGCCTACTCGCGGGGGGACAGCTGGGGTGAGCAAGAGAGTAGACCGACACCTAGCCACCGGGGAGCGGAAACTGCCTCGTAAGCCAGTCAAAAGGCCGGAAGCGCGGCCCACTCGGAGGCTCCGCTCGCACCGCGGGGGTGGCCACCTCGTGCCCTTGGTCGGCCGGGGCGGCGCGGCGGCGCAGCAACCCGCCGAACCCGCGCTTCCCGCCCTCGGCCGACACCTCTTCGGCCGCCGCCGCCGCTGGCGGCGGCGGCCGAAGAGGAGGCGCACGGCTCCGGCGCAGAGTTCGAAGCTGCCACGCTACCCACCTTTGGTTCGCAGCGGCCAAGGACTCGTCCGCCTACTCGCAACGAGGCGCGTCAAGGCGTAGAAGCGAACGCAGGCGCCACGCAATGACCAGCGGCGACGACCCATTCTTGTATCCCGTGCAGACCTCCACGCTCGGAAGCCACGCCACCGCTGCCGCCTCGGGCGTCGCCACCCCCGCCGCTGCCAGCGCCCCTGCCGCTGAAGCTGCTGCCACCTCCGCCAGTGCCACCGCGAAGCCAGCGCCGGCGGAGCGACAAGTAGCGCGCCCATCCGTCCGTCATCGCTTGCTCGAGCTGCAGACCCGCGACGTTCGCCTGGTAAGCTGCACGTTGCTGCAGCTCCTCCATTGAGGAAGGGAGGGACACGAGCCACCTGTTCACAGCTAGAGGTGTGAAGAGACGCTGCTCACAGCTGTCGTCGGGCTCGTACCCCTCCACACCCCGCCGCCGCCGGCACATACTCGTCCCTCGCTCGCCGCCCTTGCGCCTATCAGAATGCGGCGGGCGTGTCAGGGGCGCATGTCAGACTCCGTGCTCGTGCCCTCGTCCTGCCCGAGCGCCGCGAGCCGCACCAGCGCCGCCAGGAGTAACAGCCGCGCCCGCTGGGCAAAGGCGAGGCTGACGACGAAGCAAGCCTCCACACAAGCGAGCGCCGACCCCGCCGCAAGGAGGAAGGAGAGGAGCGCCGCACCGCACGACAGCGCGGCGAGGTGGCGCCTCTCTGCTGCCTCAGCAGCGGCGGGTCCCGTTGCTGTGACGGCGGCGGGGTTGGACGGGGACGGTCGGGCGGCGTGCGAGGTCGCGGAGGCATCCTCGGGGGAGGAGAGGTGGTCTGCGGAGGTGGCTGCTCGTCCTGTCGCTGCCGGCTGCTCGCCCGTGCTGCCTACGCCTTCTCTTTCCATCGCGGCTGCTCCTCTCCGACCATGCCGAGCGACGGGCGGTGGCGCCGCGCCATTGCGGCCGAGCCGGCGGTGGGCGGCGGCCGCGGTGAGCTCCACCACCGTGCCGCCGCTGACCGCCGCCATCGCCGCCCCGAGTGCCGTGAGCCGCGCCGCACCCCAGCCCTCGCGCACGGCGGAGGCTGCGTGGACGGCCGCCTCGTCGATGCGGACGAGGCGCCTCGGGTCGGGGTCGCGCCTCGCAAAGGCCAGCGCGAGTCGCGCCGTTCCGTAAGCCAGCGCTGCCTCGCGCGCTCGACGCGCCGGCGGGTAGGCCGCTGCAAGGCAAGCCGCACCGCCCGCAGCCAGGATCGTGCTGCTCGCGTTTCCGGCGAGGCTGGCCGCCCTGCCCCTCGCCGCTGCCGCCGCGCGCGGGCGATGGGCCGTTATCGCTGTGACGAGCGCAGCACGAGCGTTGGTGTGGTCTGCACTGCCGCTGACTAGCGCCGACTGCGGCGCGGGCTCTGCCACACTGCACACTGCAGCTTTCGCGCGAGGTGCGATGGGAGCCGGCCCGAGGCGGGGCTGGCAGGCTGCCAGGGAGAGTATCATCTGGGGTCGCCCAGGCGCGACGCTCCGTCCCTTGGGCCGCCCCGGCACGGGTGAACTTTTCATGCACGTCCCCATACACCATCTCCACTCTCATCAGAGCCCACTCACATCAAGAGCTCGAACCCTTCCCGCCCGCTCACCGCATCGTGAATCGCTTTCCTTCCCTCATCGCCCAAACTGTTGTAGCTGAGGTCGATGTTTTTCAGCACCCCGCTGCCCGACACGTACTCGGCGATCTCTGCGGCGCCAGTTGGGCCGATGCTGCAGCGACTCAAGCCCAGCGAGGTGAGTTTGTTGCGCTGCCGCTCGACGCGCACGATGCCGAGGGCCGCCTCCTCGGTCAAGCTGTTGTAGCTCACGTCCAAGGAGGTCAATACCGCGTTGCCCTGCAGCGCCTCGGCGATCGCGGTCGCGCCCTCGTCGCGGATGAAGTTGTTCTGGAGGTTTAGGCTGGTCAAGACCCCATTGACGCGCAGAGCGGAGGCCAGCGCCTTGGCGCCCTCGCCGCCGATATAGTTCGCGCCGAGCTGCAACTCGGTCAATACCCCGTTGCCGCGCAGCGCTTCCGCGATCGCAGCGGCGCCCTGGTCGCGGATCTGGTTGTTGGCGAGGTTGAGGGTGGTCAGCACCCCGTTGACTGCGAGAGCGCCGCCGATCGCCTTCGCGCCCTCGTCGCCGATCTCGTTTTCGCCGAGGTCGAGGTTTTTCAGCACCCCGTTGACGCGCAGAGCGGAGGCCAGCGCCTTGGCGCCCTCGCCGCCGATCTCGTTCGCGCCCAGCCGCAACTCGGTCAGCACCGCGTTGCCGCGTAGCGCCTCCGCGATCGCGGCTGCGCCCTCCGCGCCGATGTTGTTGTGCGGGAGCGCGAGGGTGGTCAGCACCCCGTTGACGCGAAGAGCGGAGGCCAGCGCGGTGGCGCCCTCGTCGCCGATCCTGTTCTCGTCGAGCCGCAACTCGGTCAATACCGCGTTGACGCGAAGAGCGGATGCTAGCGCCTTGGCACCCTCGTCGCCAATGCCGCCGATGTTGTAGTCCTGGCCGAGGTTGAGGTTGGTCAATACCCCGTTGACGCGCAAAGCGGAGGCCAGCGCCTTGGCGCCCTCGTTGCCGACGACGCTGCCGCTGATGTTGAGCTCGGTCAGCGACTCGGGCAATAACACCGACCCGGCGCCGCCTAGATGGTGCTTCAGCACGCCGGCACGCCTCCAGTAGCCCGCCGGCTTGAGCACCCCGCCAACGCACCCCTCCATCCAGCCACGCAGCAGCGCCGCGTGCCAGACCGCGATCGCGTTCCGCCCGCGGTGCCGCAAGTACTGCAAGTGCAAATCGAGCAGCGAGAGCGACGCTTCCGTGCGGCCGCCCGCCTCCGTCCGCTTCACCAAATTCTGCCCCTCCAGCTTGCGCGCAATCTTCGCCGCATCGACGTCGTCGACGCCCCACAGCATCGCCGCCACGCTCAGCGGCATCTCCGTGTCCTCGGGCAGCACGGCGAGCCTGCAGCAGCAACGCTCGATCCGCGCGTCGTTCACCTCGAGCCGCAAGAGCTGCACCTCCATGCCGGCGAAGAAAGTGCCGTAATCGTAGTCGCCTCCTCCCTCGACGTCGACGAACGTGTTCTGTCCCCTCGCCTGCCGCAACTCCTCGAGGAAGGAGCCCGTGCTCTGGTCGCGGCAGACGGCGCCCCACTGCTCGAGCACCACCGGCAACCCGCCGCTCAGCCACACGAGCTCTTTCGCGTCCGCATCGGTCGAGAGGTCGGCGTCGGTCTGCATGCACGCCGCGAGCAAGCGCAGCGCCTGCCTCCGCTCCAGCGCGCCAATCTCCTGCGTCCTGCCGCCCGCCTGCGTGGCCACTTCGCGCACCCGCGTAGTCAGCAGCCGGCCGGCATGCAGCCGCATGAACGGCCTCGCCTGCTCCAGAGTCCACACGTCGTCGAGAATGAGCAAGCAGCGCCGGGTATCGAGCCAACGCGCGATGGCATCGGCGACCGCGGCCGGCTGCTCTCGGAACGCGGAGATGTCAACGTCGAGCATGCCCGCCAGCTCGCGCAGCACGTCGAGCGCGCTGCGCTCCTGCCCAAAGCGGAGCCAGAAAACACCGCCGTGAAAGGCCGACTGCACGCGAACGTCGAGGGCGAGCACCGCGGCGAGGGTGCTCTTGCCGAGGCCGGCGGTCCCCGCCAGCGCGGCAGCACCTCCGCCTCCACCCACGAGCGAAACCGGCTGCAGGCCGTCCTCGATCAACGTCTTGCGGAGAGCTGCGTCCGCCGGCCGCAGCTCGTAGCGGTCGGGGACCGCTCGTAGTGGCAGATCGCCGCGAGGCCGCTGCGGCTGCAGCAGCACCGGCCGCCCCGCCGCGATCCTGTTCACTGCGTCCGGTCCTGCCGCCGGGAGGCACCGGCCCCGGCCAGGCTCCGCTTGCTTCACCAAAGCTGCGTCCTGCGGGTCGATCCCGAGGGCGAAACGCGGGGTGAATGCAGCCAAGGCGCCATTGGCCAGGCTGCCGCCCGCCTTCGTCTCGCTGCGCACCGCCAGCTCGCCCGCCTCAAAGCCAAGCCGCGCCGCATCCCTCAGCGGCTTGCCTGCCTGCGTCGCCTCGGCCACGCGCTTCCAGAAGGCCACGCCGAACCGCGAGCTCGCGTCGTCGTGCGCCAGAGTCTCCCAGCAGACGACGTTCGGCACGCCCGCATGCGCGAGAGCCTCGGCCAGCGCGAGCGACTTGCACCCATTTAACACGACCAGCTCGGCCCGTCGCAGCATCTGCACGAGGCTGGGCGCGTCGATGGCCTCAGGCCGTCCGTTCTTGATCCACAGGAGCGTGCGGTGCGACCCTAGCGTCGGGTCTGCGTGCCCACTAAAGTGGAACCAAGAGAAGCCCGGCAGGCTCGATGCCTCGCTCGCCGCCTGCTCGGCAGTCGGGTCGCGCAGGACGGAGGCGGCGACCCAGCTAGCCGGAAGCGCCGCCTGGATCTCGTCCAGCTCAGTGAGTACGCCGTCGAGGCGAAGGCCCGCTGGGGCGGTGAAGGAGGCGCAGCCGACAGCCAGCAACCGTGGGATAGGGACCGGCTGGGGCGGATGCGGCGGCGGCGGATGCTGCGCGGGGGGGTTGGCCGACAGTACGTCGAGCACCTGCCGCTGCATGTCGAGCATCTTCTCGAACCCTTGCCGCACTTCATCGCCAAGCTCGAGAAGCTCGCTACGGAACTCTGCGTCCGACACGCCCGAGGCGACGGCGATGCTGCGCACGACCTCGGAGTCCTTCTCGAGCGCGGCCACGTCGACAGCCTGGCCGATCGCATTCCGCTCGGCCACCTGCCGCTGCACCGCCGCCTCCACCGCGTACTCGCGCATCTGCAGCCGGGCGATGATGTGCGCGTCGCGAGCGATGTTGTAGAACGTGAGCAGCTGGTCGAGCTGGCCCGTGATCTCCGAGTCGAGCTGCGAGAAGGCGTTGCGCCTCTTCACTTTGAGCGCGCGCCGCAGCCACCCCTTCTTGCCAAAGGCAGCGACCGCCGAGCACACGTCCTCGAGCAGCTGCTGCAACTCGCGCATCCGGTCCTCGACGCTCGCGCGGCTCTTCACGTCCATGAGCTCCACATTTTCAGCCATGAGCTGCAGCAGCTCGAGGACGTCGATCGTGCGCAGGGCAGCCGATAGCGCATCGTTGATCACAGTGCGCGACTCTTGCACGACTTGAAGGACGCCGCGAGCCGCGCGGCACACCGCCGGAATGAGAGGCAGCCCGGCGCCCTCGCCGAGCCTCAGCACGGTGTCGACGAGCTTCAGTCCCGTCTCCAACTTGTCGAGCGCCCGTGCCGCCGACGTGAGCCGGACGATGCCACTGTCCGTCGATGAGGACCGCTGGAGATCGGACATGGCGAAGGACACCACCCGGCTGCCACCGGTTTGTCCGCTGACTTTCTTTTTTCGTTAATGCAAAAAGCGAATTCGTCCCTTTTTTTGCGGCCAGCCTGTACTCTCAATTCACACTCACATCAAGAGCTCGAACCCTTCCCGCCCGCTCACCGCATATAGGTATCTCTCTCTCCCCCACAGGACCGGTCCAGGACCGGTTCGAGCTGGCTGCGCTGGACCGGTCCAGCCCTCCAAAGCGGTCCAGCACCCTCCATGGCGCCCCAGAGGGCTGAGCCTGAGGTGAACTGCACATTCTGGAGCGGCCGCACACTGCTCGGTCGGTACCCCCCCTGCACAACTAAGCTCATGGCCGACCCGCCCCCAGCAGCAGCGCCTTGCTGCTGGGAGGGTCCGGAGCAGATGCGGGTCAA